CTGCCGTTCTTTCCCCATCCCTACCACTATACACACAGCGTCAGGGGACAAGTGTTACAAAAGGCCTCTTTTGGAAGCTGAAACAGCACCGCAGTCGCCCTTAAAAACTTGCTGACTTTTCCTGTAAGAAGAGAGACTGGAGAGCATTTCCTTGCACGTGCTGCATCAGTAATTCCTATCATCTCCGCTACTTTCAGATAGTTACCGAACAGATTTTCAAAGGGCTAAAAGTAATGCTATTATGAATCTACTTCTGCTTCCCCTTATCTTTTCTGTCTCTCCGCAGAATCAGAATTCACTATTCTCCAACCAAAAGTTTCCCCAAGTTGGGTAAAAGCATTTGAGAACCTCTGCGTGGAAAATGGGAGAAAAAGAGAGGAAAACAGCGAACAACAGACTGAAAAGTGATCCATGCACACTTTCATCTCTTAGAAGCAGTTCATTTACAACTCTTTCCCCATGGAACAGCACCAAATGAAAACCTTTACCAATCTGGGGAGAAAGACAAAAAAACCCCATTTAAACTCACCTAACAGAGAGTGTAAAGTCTCCTGGGTTACTTTTGCTGGGCCGTGCCAAAAAGCTGCCATCCACTCCTCTTGTTAACAGCAGGTTTTCTGCTTCCACTCCAGTAATATTTGGATGAAACCATCTAGAAGAGGTTAAAAATAAAGAGTGTTAATAAATAAAGAGAAGATCTTCTGGTTTTCAGAGTCAACTTACGCGACAAGACTAAATAGAAAAATTCAACAGCTTCAAAACCAGGAAGTACTGAATTTTGTTCCTAAAGAAGTAAGAATCTGAGCAGACAGTATAAATTGTCCGTTTCATATTGCATTGCAATTCTACATATCGCTAAGAGATGTTTTGCAAGTGGAAGAGCTGTACCTATACTGAATGGATTAAAAGAGTATCAAAGGCATACAGTGTGAACAGCAACCCCAAGTCATGCACTTGCCTTACTCCAGAAAGACACGACACACAGAGAAACTGAAAGACAATCCAGAAAAATACTTCAAAAAAGAAAACAAAAACTTCCAAAAGTGACAACTTGACAACATTTTAAAGGTTAAAAATTTAACAGAACCTCATGCTTTAGGGCACAGGCTGAGCACCAGCTGACAGGGGTCAGGAAGGAGCTTCACTTGTGGACAACCTACGTGGTTGTCTCGTCTTCTTCCACCGTCCTCAACAGACCGTGGTGCTGCCCGCTGCCAGAGCGCAGCGCTGCCTTCGAACTACCTTGGCAAATTCTCTGGTCCGAATATATCCCACTTAAATACAAACACCGAGGAATCTCATATTGATATTCACCACCCACAAACAGCCTTCTGAATGACTAATATAGTGCCCCTGCCAAAGGAGAGCTCTATATGGTCTATATCCAAGAAGCTCAGTGTCCCCACCTATGGCATTAACTTCGGAGAGACAATTTATTCTTAGCCATTCTGTTAACGCATCTGTGTTCTCTCTTATCTATAATTGAGGATTTTTATTGCCCTCTTGCAGTACTAAACTACATCTGTGTGTTCTGGATGACAGGAGTTTTTAATGAGGCAGGATTTTAGAAGGCAAACGTAAAAAAAAAACAACAACAAAACCAAACACCAAACCAACCACCACACAGCCCAGGGACAGAGATGTGAACGCAGCAACTAAGTTTTAGTGGCTTTGTCAGACTTGTATTTGGCAATTAGAAGATCACCTTTATTTTTCAGAGTTGCCATAAATTAGACTGTGCAGGGCACAAGTGAAAATGCACATCCATATCTGCAGAAAGAACACAGACTACTTCTCTTTGTACACCGGGTTCTTAGTTTCTCTGGAGTAAAGCAAAATATTAAGGCAAATGACTCTGCAACCAATCTCATTACATATATGAGTGCTACATCTAAAAAAAAAATTGAACAGCTTTTCTGATCCTACCCAATACAGTCAGCATTTCGTGCTAAATTGCTAAAACAGCAAAATATGCGTATGCATGTCTAAATTTAGGGTTATTACTGTAATTGTTTCAGCAATTCCTTCTGTAATGAAAAGTCAACAGTATTCCCACCAAGGCCTTAGCCAGCCTATTCTCTTCAGAAAGAGATTCTCACAGAACCAGTCTGCAGAGCTTTAGAGATTCTAGAATATCCAAACTCCTACCAAATCATTCGAATGGGAATTAGGATTACTCATGTATCAGTTCCACTTCAGAAGTAAATTATTCTTCCTGTTAATCTTGCTTTTTTTGTCTGGTTGCATCAAGAAAATCTAGTGACTACTACTACATCTTTAACCGAAGAACAACAACAAAAAAAATAATCGAACCTATGCAGCACGGGTCATGAAAAAAAGATTTTAAAATACTTCAAGTTATTACAGCAAATGGGAATGAATTAATAAATGATGCTACACTTCTTTAATGACTACTCCAACTTTAAGAAAAGCCTCACAAAAGATACTGCACAAGCATCGGTACCTGGTATGAACCCAACACTAAATACCACATTTCAGAATATGACAGGATGGCCTGCAGAAGCTGATAATGTATTTGCCACACTTCCACACCTAAAATTTTACTTCCATTAGGAGAAAACAAAAAAAACCCAAATAAAAAGTGCAGCACCATTGTGAAGAGTTTCTAAGCCTTTGAAACACAGATAGGATCCAAGAGACACCTTTGCAAGTTTCTGAGTTTATATGCAAAAATGGATAAATATATGAAGGAGAAATTATTGGGATCAATTCTACAAATTTATTGTATTGCAACATTCCATAAACTGTAATTAACATAATATCTTCTGTATCTCATCCTAAACCCTAATGCACCTGCAATTAACTGCACACAAGTTGCTAAAAGGATGTAAAATAACAGAAAAATAGTAACTTAATAAAAAGAAGGGACTACAAATAACTTGTGCTTAAAGGAGAGGTTAAAAAGATGATAGATTGTTTAAAAACAAAAATCTCACCCCAACACGTAAACACACTCCTATGAAAATGGCAAAAAGCAAGCAAGTGTAGCAAAAGAAAAGCTACATCTGGGAGAGCGATGGAGTTTATTGCACTTTATGTAACTTTTGTTCTAATGGTAACTCGTACTCCTGCTCTCTCTCATCTTTATATTTTTGGCTTTGAGTAGGAAGATGCATTTGTCAGCCACCCCAAATAGAAAAATGGGGGTGTTAGTGATCTCTGTTAAATGGTTCCGGACCGGTGATCGAGATGGTTTCATTTGAAGTACTGCCATCACATGTGCTTTGAACCTCGGGGGCTACATCCCTCCCAAAACCGGAGGAGAGAGCAAAGGGGACTGCAGACACCGACACCAGTAACACAAGCCCTACAGAGAACTTTCTCTTGCACTTCCTTTTATAGGGATGGAATGCATTTTCGACTTTTTTCTGCTTTCCTTCTCCAACCTCTATGATGAGCAGGTGCAGAGGCTATCCCAAGCAAAGGACATCACAGCCAATAAATACAATCAAGAAAGTAACACACGCACACGTAAACCCACGCTCTAATTAAACTAGCTGTCTTCACTATGCACGGAATACTCCTTACAGCAATTCTGATTTGGGGGGTTCAGCAGCACACCATTCCAAGTCCCTTATTAGTTTACAGTAAGACAAAAATGTTGGCAGAAAGGTAACCAGTGAAATACCGGGGATCTCATTTACAATAATTACAAAACTAAGGGGATATGCACCAAGCAAGAAACTTTTTGATGAAAACTAACACATGGTAAGAAATACAGTATTGCTACAATTATCTTTTTTTTTTTTTTTTTTTTTTGAAAAGATCATCAGGATCTGTCTTTTGTAAGTCACACACTGCCAGCATATTTCTCTCTTACCAAATTGAAGAGAGAAAAGAAACAAATCAATACATTTTTCCATGCTGTGATTGGGCTTTTCTAATCACCTTTGCAAGAGCAGGAGAGATTAAATCAGTTCTGAGTCTCAGCTGTCACAACCGTAGCATTCAGGGAGGCGGTGACTGGTAGTTTAATTACACCTATTTATAGGCTCATCAGTTTATATTTCTCATCTTTTTTCAGTCTCCCTCACAAGTTACAATTTAAAGTCCTGAGCAGAATATGAGGATTATTCTCAACAACAAGGAAATTCGCAAGTGTCTCCAAAGGTAACTTGTATATTCAAGCCAGTGTGTGAGTAGGAACATTCAGAAAAACCCAACATACACTAGAAATCTCCCACATGCCTCAAGACCCCAAACCCAAATTTAACTATAAATGGCCACGGACTGAAAACACCCTGTCTAGTTCCACCACCTTAAATAGAAGAAGAAAGAGGACAACCCAATGTTGAATAAGCTATATTTTAATAGATATTACTTAAAAAGATGTGTCGAATTTCAGAATAGGAATGTTTGATAAGATTAGAAATATATTTTTCCTTTTCGTGACAGTAATTCCTCTCAAGACTAACATTTACCTTAACCCTTCAGCCCAAAAAGGGCTGCTAAACTAAGACAAACATCTAAATACGTTGACAGCGAGAAGCTAAACAAAGAAAACAGATTCAACTGTTCATCGTGCTGACTTTGCAACCCCACAAGGTTTTGAAATCAGACCCAATGCTGTCAAATAAACGGAGAGCCCAGACCCGTTTACAAACTCCAGTTCTAAAGGCGGCTGATGGTTTCCTTTCAGTAACGTCACTAGCGCTGGGCTGCCGAGAGCAGCACGACCCTCCCCGGCCTCGGATACTCGACCGACCGGTTGCCACACGAATCAAATTCATTCCTCAGCTCCGGTTGAAGCCCCCCACGAAGCCAACGTTAATGTGGCAGCTCCGGCCTCCGCACGGGGGTCGGCGGAGCCCCAGGCCAGCCGCCCCCCGCCCCACCGGGTCCCCCGGAGAGGAGGGCGTCCCC